GCAATGGAGCCTTAGAGCCTATGACAATTAAGGCCAAAAACAAATATTTGAAATTAACTGTAAGGGGCGGACTGACAACTCATGGGGCCCCCGGGCAATAGGGGATCATGGGGCCCCTGTGTCCTTGACAGACTCAAAAAAGCCTATGAAAAAGGTACCAGGGGCATCTCATGGGGCCCCCTACTGACCCCGGGCCCTCGGGCAGTGCCCGAGTTTCCAAATGGTCAGTCCGCCCCTGCATGTGAGTGTTACTCTTCTTCGAAAGATGAAGATTTCTTTTTATACCTATAATTGGATTAATGAATGGAAAGAAGTAAAGGAAATTCCTCTTTGATGACAAAAAAATAAACTTTTTTTTTTTAAACTGTAATGGTTTTCAGACACACTAGGTAAACAAAAAAGTTATTTATTTTAGTTTAAACAGTAGAAAGTTTCTTCGATTCCTTTAATGTAGCATTGAGGAAATTGTGGGATTTGGCCAGGTCTTGAGATTTTGCCAATGCCAATGATCAAGATTTCACTGGAGGCAACTAATCATTGAGATAAGATTGATGGTGGTATTGTCTGTAGTTCACACATACAGTTGTATGCAAAATTTTGGCTACCTTAGTACATGTTCTATAAAATGCGGTTAATACAACAAAAACATATCTGCAACTTCTAATGTATAATTATTATATATTTGCTGCATTTAAAAGAATGCAAAAGAAAACAACCTGCAGAAAAAGTTGCAGATACTAATGTTTGAATACCCTGAGAGACGCTATTATGTAATATCCCATGTTGGCAGAAATTCTTTTGGCTTGTTGACAATCTTTTTATTTTTTCACATTCTTCTTGTTAAAACACTTTTATAGTTCAAGAATATTCTTAATTTGGATTAACAGTTTGAGTAATATGCTGTTTAAAGTGAATGTCCAGGCTAGATCTAACTAAGCTTAAAACGGACCCCGCTTCCCTCGTTGCCCCCACAGAGTGTGGACTGGCTCAAGCTGTCACTGATCTCTTCCATAAGAATGTTCTGGTGCAGGGCAGTGGGGGCACTGAGGGCAGGGCTCAATCAAATGTTCCTCCGACTCTTCTGCTTTGATCCTATTCTCCTCTCCACTTCTGCTCTCGACTCCCTCTACTTTCCTGAGCCTGAGCCCTGCCTGCAAGCCCAAGCCCAGCTAGCTTCGGAACTGCTCATCTGAAGCGGGCCCACAGCCATCTTTTTTTGCTGGCAGCCGACCACTGTGTCACGTACCTGACCGGAGGCTGTAATAGAGAGAGGGCTCCCCTTACGGCTAAGTGCAGTGCGCCCCTGAAGTGGAAACAGGAGGTGCAGTGCCCAAAGAAGCACGGGTTGCCAGTGGTGTTGCTGCTTGGAAATGCCTAATGAGATGGAACCCATGGGTGCTCCAGTTGCAGGATGCGTTGCTCCAGAGAACACGTGGATCCCGGAGGCTGGGTACAGTAGTCAGTAGCCAGAGCCAGGATCAGTATGGAACAGCAGACAGGAGCAACGTCAGGATCAAGCCGGGGTCATACACAGAGCAGCAGACAGGAACAAGGTCAGGATCAAGCCAGGGTCATACACAGAGCAGCAGACAGGAACAAGGTCAGGATCAAGCCGGGGTCATACACAGAGCAGCAGACAGGAACAAGGTCAGGATCAAGCCGGGGTCATACACCGAGCAGCAGACAGGAACAAGGTCAGGATCAAGCCGGGGTCATACACCGAGCAGCAGACAGGAACAAGGTCACGATCAAGCCGGGGTCATACACCGAGCAGCAGACAGGAACAAGGTCAGGATCAAGCCGGGGTCATACACAGAGCAGCAGACTGGAACAAGGTCAGGATCAAGCAGGGGTCATACACAGGGCAGCAGACAGGAACAAGGTCAGGATCAAGCCGAGGTCATACACAGAGCAGCAGACAGGAACAAGGTCAGGATCAAGCCGGGGTCATACACAGAGCAGCAGACAGGAACAAGGTCAGGATCAAGCTGGGGTCATACACAGAGCAGCAGACAGGAACAAGGTCAGGATCAAGCCGGGTCATACACAGAGCAGCAGACAGGAACAAGGTCAGGATCAAGCTGGGTTGGTAATGGGTAATCAGCAGTAGACTCAGGAACAGGAGGGGCTGACGATAATCCAGCAATCACTGCGCAGAGCTGCAGTCCTTATAAAGGCCACTGAGTGTCAGCAATTAGTGCACCCTGCGTGTGCTGGTGTGTTTTCTGCACAGGAATGTTTTACTACATGTCGTCCGCCTATGCACATGCGCACTGCTTTGCGTGAATTGGCGTGGCCATATTGCGCATTTGCCCGGGCTTTCTCGTCTTTTCCTCTGACACACTGGGGAGGTCAAGTAACCAGACCTGAGTGCCTTGAAAATTGGTTACCATAAGCATCTTCCTTCTACAGGGTATTTAGAATAGAGTTAGAAGGGGGGTGGGAGCTGTGTTAAAAGATAGGTTCACCTTTTGGAACATGTTACATGTTCTACCTGTTTTTAGGGGTGGAACATGTAACTGTTCCAGCAGCTGCAGCCTCTCCCTCCATTTCCCCCCTCCCTGTGACAACGGGCGGTGGATCTTCTCCCTGTGCCCACTGTCATAATTTAAGAAGAACTCAGCGGTTGAATGGCTGGGCAGCGATGATGTCACATCGCTGCTGCACAGATCAGGGGCTGTCAATCCACACTGAACTACAAAGTGTACATGACGACTGACAAGCAGGAAAAAGCTTTTATGACAAAAGAGACTGACATGGTCTCTTCTGTCATAAATGTCCTGTCTGTCAGCAATTTTTAAAAAAAAAGATTTTTCCGTTTACTACCACTTAAAGTGGAACAAAAGGAACAAATACTCCTCTAAACTCCAACTGTCCAATGCCTGTGAGGTCCCTCACTCCTGTGCATGTGCAGTAGTTCAGGAATCCCCCATACTAGCGATTTCCCAGAAATTAAATTGACCTGCACATGTGCACCTCTGTGTACATTCATACAAGGGATTGTGAACAGGCAGGTAGGTGTATTTTATTGCAGAAGAAACGTTCCATGTCTCTTCTGCAATAAAAAGCCTGCCTGTTCACAATCTTTCTATTTTTGCCTTTAGTTCTACTTTACGTGAACGTGTTCCTTTGCCCTGCATGGGCAAAGCACAGGTTCACCTTAAATGCCATAAATTCACTGGATTAGGCTACCTCGGCACTCCAGCTGTGATGAAACTACAAATCCCATGAGACATTGCAAGACTTTGACAGCCATAAGCATGGCTCCTGTAGGCAGAGACATGATGGGGTTTGTAGTTTCACCACAGCTGAAGCGCTGAGGATTGCCTATCCCTAATACCTGTACTTCTTTACAGTGTTGATTTCCCATCTTTAATGTTACATGGCAGAGACTAGTGTCATCAGAGCTGACGCTTCATTAATCCTGTCATTTCCTTTACTTTCCACATTCCAGTACAAGGTTTGGTAGACCTGCTTTCTGATGACCTCATGGAAGTATTGTGTGCCATAGACAGGTGGAAGCCTGCCCAGACTTGTACTTCAGGCAGGTGGATTAGCTTGCTGCTGTCTTTCTGATACTATGGAATGTAATGAGCTTCTTCCGAAAACAGGATCTCAGATAACACCTGCACTAAAACCCCAGGTCTCAGGTCTGTGATGTGAGACGTGCGGATTACTACACAGTCATGAGCTGTATTTTTCTTAGGTCAAAATTAGGTTTTGATATAAAGTTTTATTTAGACCAAAAAGAGAATCCCTCTAAATTTTGCACTAAAAATAAAGTGTTTCATGCAGCTACGTGACTGGGACCCGCTGATCGTCATGTGCTGTAACAAATCGCAGCACAGCCGGGCGAGCGCGCCCTACCCGGAAGTGCTGATCATGTACCAGCTACGTGATCCAGCGCACAGCAGCTGCCCTACCGCGGTAAATGTACATGTGGTGGTGGCTAGGCAGTTAAAGTGGAGTTCAACTCACCCTGTCAAAAAATAAAAGTCAGCAGCTACAAAAACTGTAGCTGCTGACTTTTAAAAAACAGCCACTTACCTGTCCCTCGGTCCCATGGTGAGTCCCCCCCGCAGCTCGTTTCACCTGCCATCCTGTATTCCAGGAGGCTGTCATCTACAGTGTGGGCACCCGGCTGTGCAGCTTGCGGCTTCACAGCCGGGTACCCACTGCACATGCGCGCGTAGCGCTGCTCTTCATGAATGGTCCCCGTAGTCTTCTGGGACCTGTCACGTGTCCCAAAAGACTACAGGGAGGGAGGGAGGGAGGACACCTTCCGCTAGCGATCGGACCGGAAGTGGGAGCGGGTACCTGCCAAATTCGGGTACCCGCTCCCCCCTCCTATCCCCCAAATGTGCCAATCCTTAATGGGGAGCGGGGGAGCAGTCCTTGAGTCTCTGGTGTCCTTTTAAAAGATCAGACATGTACAGTCTCTGTGAGTCCTATTGGGGTTACTGCTGGAACCACCAGCTGTCATTGATGACTGTTGTCTATGGGCCCATTCAAACTATGACGTTATGGTTCTATGCAATAAAACTTGCTATACATTACTGTAACATAGCGCAGTGCATTACAATGTAATTCATTTTAAATGGTACCCGGACAACACAGCCCAACTCTTGCATTTTATTGTACCACAATGCATAGATGTGAAACATCTGTTCCTTGTGGTGTGAAAATGCTTTACGTCTTTAGCACCCCATGTAAAACTAATGGGCTGCCTTAAATTATAACTAAAGGCCGTCTTTATTTATTTATTTTTGGACAGCGTGGAGAAGGATCCCCTCTATTTGTCCTGGAGACCATTATCACTTACCTATTTTATAGGCGTTTGACTGTTTTTCTGCCCATGAACTCCCCTCTGTGTTAAGGGTTGATTTACTAAACCTGGAGAGTGCAAAATCTGGTGCAGGTCTGCACAGAAACCAGAATCAGCTTCCAGGTTTTTTTGTGAAAACTTGACCCCAGTTCACATATATGCGGCCGTGCGGGTTGCGTTTGGCACGGGCACGAGGGCCCATTAATTTGCCTGTGACACACAGGGAAGAAGTCCTCAGTTCCCAGTACGGTTGCGTTTTCCAGTGCGGGCAGTGTGCCATTAGAACTAATGGCACCCGCCTGCGGGTCCGCATTTCTCTGTGTGGGTGGTGCGGCTGCATGGATTTTCGTGTGTATCCGCAGCGGCACCACCCGCACAGATGTGAACCTAGGGCAGTGGTGGGCAACCTTTTTTTTCAACTGAGCCAAATCTCGCCAAAACCACGATTGAAATTTATTTTGAGAGCCACATTTTTAAAACTGAAAATACATCCCCAATATAGTAATTCATCCCCCATAGTAATTCATCCCCCATAGTAATTCATCCCCCATATAGTAATTCATCCCCCATATAGTAATTCATCCCCCATAGTAATTCATCCCCCATATAGTAATTCATCCCCCATATAGTAATTCATCCCCCATATAGTAATTCATCCCCCATAGTAATTCATCCCCCATATAGTAATTCATCCCCCATAGTAATTCATCCCCCATATAGTAATTCATCCCCCATAGTAATTCATCCCCCATAGTAATTCATCCCCCATATAGTAATTCATCCCCCATAGTAATTCATCCCCCATATAGTAATTCATCCCCCATATAGTAATTCATCCCCCATATAGTAATTCATCCCCCATATAGTAATTCATCCCCCATATAGTAATTCATCCCCCATAGTAATTCATCCCCCATATAGTAATTCATCCCCCATATAGTAATTCATCCCCCCTATAGTAATTCATCCCCCCTATAGTAATTCATTCCCCATATTGTGTCAATTCACTTACCTTTGCTCCGCGCGTTCCTCTCGCCGTGTTCCCGCGCCGTTCCGGTCTTCAGGGCGGACTGTGAGAGGAGAGGAGCTCGTCACGCTGCCCCGCCTACATCCTGACAGCCAATGTTTGCCACGCTCCGCGGGATTAAAACGTCCGCCGGGCCGTATACGGCTCTCGGGCCCAGTTTGCCCATTGCTGGGCTAGCTGCAGAGTCCTGACTTTTGGGGCGGCCGCCCGAGAGGAGGGAGGGGAGCGGGCACCCGGCACACAGAAGAGCCGCATTAAAATGTGTAAAGAGCCGCATGTGGCTCGCAAGCCGCGGCTTGCCGACCACTGACCTAGGGTAACTGAACAAACTGAAGTTAGAAGCTGATTGGCTACCATGCACAGCTGCACCAGATTTTGACCTCTCTAGTTTTAGTAAATCATGCCCTGTGTGTCCATGCACACATAGGCATTTAGGGGCAGAATTCTGAACAGACCCAAATCTCCCAGAAAAATGCCCAACGCATCTAAAAACGTGTAAACGTGCCTAAGCGCATTTTAGCACTTTTTTTCATTTCAATGGCCTGAATTCTGAACAGACCCAAATCTCGTTCAGGAAATGAGCTTTTGGACAGAAAAATGCCCAACACATCTAAAAACGTGTAAACGTGCCTAAGCGCATTTTAGCACTTTTTTTCATTTCAATGGCCTGAATAAATGAATCTTCTAGCCAATGAAATAAACAAATGCCCGAGTGCTTGATGCACCTGAAGGCGACTAAATGCATTTGCAAAAATGCGGCTTAGGCATGTTTATGAAGCTGCTTTTCTCCTGCTAGGAGAAAGTGTGTTCCAAAAGCCCGAGTGCATGAAGCCTAAGCGTAAAAGTGAAAAAAATCCCAAATTTTGTGTTGTCACCAGAACAGGAATAGAGGGGATATCTAAACTACGGTACTTAAAAAGAAAGTGCAGCGCTAAAACAAATGCAGATTAATACTTCCAATCCATCAACCAGCTGAACATGTGATCGTGAATAAATAAAATCACAATATGTTAAAATAAATGTATAAAAATGGTGACAGACTGTGATGGGTGATGGTTACAGGAGATGTTAGTGACTTCACATTCCAGGTGGTGAGGTGATAAAATAGTTAAAATACGCACTCACCAGATGCGTATCTTTATATACGCATATAATCAATAACCAGAGGTCCCTCTTATGGGATGGGATGGATGAGCTGAACCACCTGTAACGGACTCTCCCCCTCTTGGTGTTGGTCTGGTCAGTGGTCGTCTCTGTTGGGATAGCCCCGAATACCACCGTGGAAGCCTCTCAGATATAAAGCAGGTTGCACTGGACCTGGCGTTCTCCTCTTATAGTGGTGGGCTGATGTCAGCAATTGGGAACTAGATCTGGTGACAGCCAGGCATTGCCTGACTCTAGAGGGACTTCCTCCCACTTCCTGTTTTTAACAATGGGATAGGAAGTGAAGGGCAGTCTCCCCAATAGGACACAGATGGCTAAAAAACTTACATGGGGTTATACGCCTTCCCTACTGTGTTCAACATGGAAAAAAAAAAGTTTTGCCTTTAGTTCTATTTAACACAAGACAAATGAATGTGCATTCAGTAACACACCATTGCACATTGCCCCAGTCTCTGCGATCCCTCATAGTGCACACAGCCTTTTCTGATTGTGGTATGGTAGACAACACATTCTGTACACATTCTCTTTCTAGTTTATTGGTAAGACTCAGTCCACTAACTATATTGATTTTTCTGGTGTCACAGTTTGTGTCCATTCCACCATGTACTGTGCCAGCTGCAGACGGCATATCAGGCCCTGCCCTTGCTCAGTCTTGTCTTACCTGTCACAAGCCATCAAGTGTGCTCTATTGTGAAGGTGCAGTGGAAGATGACAGCACACAGGCAGTAATGGACGCAGGTGTGTGCTCCAGTATCAGATTCCACCAACCTAGAATCCTGCTGAGCTATAGAAACCAGACAATTAAAGGAGTTGTCTGTAAACAGCTTTAGTGGGGGAAGAGAGTCTTTCTGAGCATTCGGAAATGTAGAGAATGTACAAGAACAAATGATGACTTTACAGCGTAAATTTAGGCTATCACTGTTTTATTTTTATATTGTGGAAATGTTTTCGAATCCTGTGAGTACAACTCCAGGGGAAAAAAAATCATAAATGTAAAATTTATACCTTGTTGCAAGCCAACACGTGTTCACAAGAAATGTGGCTATGACAGTGAAGGGCTCCAGTTGCATCACAACCGTCTCCACACCCATTTACAGTACAAAAAGCTTTTTTTTTTTCCCCAGAATACATGCTGTTCTGTGAATGGAGAAGGGGAAATCATGTTGCATTCCTGCCCTTCTCCCCCTCCACATTCACAGAAAACCCTCTTTAATAGGGTCCATTCACAGAAAAATTTAAATACTTTTTAAAGCATGAAGAAAAATATGGAAATAGGCGATACACTACAGGTTACCGGAGTTGTAGCCTCCAATAACATGAGTCCATAGTTAGGTTTAAAAAAAAGTCTGTAAGTGTTCCAAATAGTAGACTAGTAGTGCTGTGGTTGACTGCAGCTGTCCTGCAAGGATTCTGGGGGCTAGTAAGACATTTCAGATAAGCCCATGTATAGATTACTGCAGCTATTTTGCCATTCTCACTTCCAGTTCTGCAGCATTTCAGAATTCCCAATCACCCTACTTGCCCCTCACAATGCCTTGTGTGCATGAGATCTTTGTGCCCCTTGATTAAAGTGGTTGTAAAGGTAATTTTTTTTTACCTTTATGCACTAAAATTAAAAAAACCTTCCAGTTGCTGTTCCAACCCGCTCCCCCCCCCCCCCTACCAACCTTACCTGAGTCCTTTATCAATCCAGCTCTGTGCCCGGCTTCAGTCCTTCTCTCTCCTCTCTCTGCATTCACAAGCTTGGATGAGAATAGCGGGAGCCATTTACTCCTGCTGGTGTCAGTCAAATCCTGTGAGGAGGGAGTGGAGGGTGAGGCTGAACTGTGTGTGTCTATGGATGCACACAGCCCAGCTCAGGAGCAAGCCCACATGTCTGCCTCTATAGCAAGCTAGTTATGGGGGTAAACACAGAAGAGGAGGAACCAAGAAAGCTGGCAGTGGACCCCAGAAGACTAGGTGCAAGGCTGCTCTGTGCAATACCAGTGCACAGAGCAAGTAAACATAATAAGTTTGTATTTTTATTTAAAAAAAATATCATATTTTTTTATGCATTCTTTATTTATAAAGACAGTTTTACAGAGAATAAAGTTGATAGAAGTGTATAAGGAAATTACAAAAAAGGGCAGTAAACTGCTTAAGGTCAGTCAAATTCAGAGAACACACAGGCAGCAGTTTAACATATTTATAGGTAAAGTTAATCCAAGGAATATCGGATTGTTTCTTGGACCAGGAAGGATTTTTTTCCCCTACTGGAGCAAATTGGATTATGCTTTATTGGCGTTTTTTGCTTTCTTCTGGAACAGCTTTGGGAATTGGATAGTTTATAAGGGAGTTTTTCAGTGTGTGTGTGTGTTTTTCTCTGTTCGATGAACTGATGGACTTGTGTCTTTTTTCAACCAAATTAACTATGTAACATGTTGTATACAGATGCAGCAGAAGAGCATATCAATATAATCTCAAATCCCATCAGGGGAGGTACCCAGTGGGGGATATAAGCCCAAACGTTATGTCAAACTGCAAACACTGAACTGTGAAATAGGTGTGCCTGGACCGAGATGAGTTATGACCTAAGTAGCGGAATCAGGGTTTTAAGAGCCTGATCTCCGATTCAATCTCGCATACAGGGTACAGTTTAAAGTGACAGAAGAAGACATAAAAGATGTAAGGAAGGAAGGAAAGAGGGGGGGGGGGGGGAGGGGAGTGTATAAGGGAACTGCATCAGGCAGGAAGGAGTCCAGAACAAACAGAGATATTGAGGCCCTATAGTCTTTAGGTAGCCTAAAAAAGGGCTGGGGAGACGTTAGCACAAACAATGTCTATCTATAGGTTCCCCGGTACTTATGAAGGTATGTCAATCATTATTTGTTTATATTCCACTGAATTGGAAAAGTCCAACCAATAGAACCACATCTTGGTAAATTTACTGGTAGTCCCTCTAAGAAAGCTGGTTAAATCTTCCATCAGATATCTCCTGATGTCCTCAACATGGTGGAACCCTTGTTGAATTGTGGGCAGCGTTTATCAGGTTTTCTTGATTCTGATAAGGATACTACAGTTCTCCCCCTTTTATTTGCTAACTCAAGCTGTGTTTCAAGTTCCCTGTTTAATTTGATCTACAACCTGCTTCCTGCAGCCTGTACTATAACACCAGAATGGGAACATAAAAGGTATGTGCTTCACGTAGCAGTTTGATTTAATGTCTTTATTGCCTGAAGCCATAAATGATGATTTTATGATGAAGTACATTGAAACAATGACTGGGGATGATACACTGATAGAGGCAGGCATTCCCTAGCTACAGCATAAAGAGTGCATATCTGCAGAGCAGGAAGACTGATAAGGGTATCAAATATCCCTCTAGATGTTTTAATATGGGGAGCTCTGGATCACCAATCAGCCGTTTTTAAAAAAAATAACACCGTATTTATTCTTTCTTCAAAAGTCAGGGAAATATACAGCTTTCTTCAGCAAAGAAAATACAAGTCTAAAGTTGTGGTATCATGAAAAACAACACAATGGCTCACCGCCAGTATACCAGTCCCATACCAGGGTTTAAGGTTCCCATCTGTTTTAGGGTGCCACAAAGGCCACAGGAGCTCAGCAAGCACGGTATCAGTTGCCAGACAGTTCACATTTGCACATACTGTAGCTGTTAACCATTCCACTGCACCTCACAGACACCTGCTGGCTGGTTCCTGTTCCTTTTCTGGACTCTAAATACAGACAGATAACCCTTTTGGGACCCAAAGTCCTTGTAATGAGGATTTAGAGGCTCTTTCCCACCCAAAATCTCTTCGAGCCACTGAATTCCAGGTTCCAAATGAGGACTTACCAGTCCTGAGAGAACTGCCAGCCAGTCCTCTCCTTTCTAATTGGTCTACCCTGAAACCCCTCACCCTGCATGGGTGAGAACCCCTGAGTACTCAACAATGTCCCCCTTAAAGGGACCACACCCAAATAGTGGGGAAATATGCATGCTGTTCAGGACCCATCCTTAAGTGCCGGTTCACATATATGTGGATTGGATGCAGTTTGAACTCCATCCTATCCGCATGACATGTGAAATAACATTACTTCCTATGGTGCCTGTTCACATACATCCGATGCACTGGCAGTGCGGATTGAAAAAGAGTCATCGCTGATTTCTTTTTTTTTTTTTATAAATATTTATTAATTTTTCAATCCAAATACAAATCACTTTGACATTTCTATTAAAATGATAATCACAACAGTATCTTCCAACTTG